TATACCGAAGGCTCAGGAAGTTGTCTCACAAACAAGGCAATCCCCAATGTCCGGATCGGATGCGAGAACAATTTTTTACCTGTATTCTTCCCGGCTGACCAGTGGATTCCATGCGACTGGAAACGTTGACCGTGTTGCCCCAGATGTCGTAGTGAGGTTTCCGAGCTCCGATCACGCCAGCGATGATGGGCCCGTGGTTGATGCCTGGAGGATCAGTTTTTGTTTTAGTAGAGGTTTTACTATTGGAGCATGGACAATCAATAAACATCTGGAAAGAACAATTGGGGCGACAGAGTTGTGGTTCATAAGACGCATGCTACGTATCCCAGGGACAGCAAGAAAAAAACCCCGAAGAAGTCTTAGTTGAAGCAAATTGTAGAAGACAGCTTGTGACGAATATAAGAAAGCGACAGGTAAATTTCTTCGTGCACACAATGCGGAAAGAAGCATGGGAGAATATTGTAACAACAGGTTAGTTTGATGGAAAGAGAGGCAGAGGCAGACAGAGGGAAAAGATACCGGACAAAATGACAACATGGTTAGGAGCAGCAAGAACAACAGACACCATTGCTGCAACGCAAGAAAGAGTTAAGTGGAGGTCTATGATCGCCCACGCCAGTCGTCAAGGCACCGAATGATGATGAGGTTCTATGGCACTCGCAACTGCATAAGGTCATATTATGAGCGCCAGAAGATTACAAGTGTTACAAGAGAGTAACAAACATAAGAAAGAAGGAGGGGAGATACGGACGATAGATGTTTGACGGGAAAGAAGAAGCAAACCACACCACATCACCCGCCAACCACCCACCTGGGAGATCAGAGAACAACCTTAGTTTGGGGTTTAAACAAGAGATGTACGGCACTTGCAACACACTTAGGCCATTTATATAGGCGCAAAAGATTAGATGTGTTACAATGGAATAACAAACACAAAAAGGGGGAAGGGGGGGGGGGGATAGGTGTCTGAAATTGAAGACGAAAGCAGACGACAGAACATGGTAAGAGATGAGGAAATGAGGCAAAAAAAAGAAAAATCGTTCTCCTGAAAAAGTAAGAAAACAGGGATACGCCCTTTGGTGTGATAGACGACGAATTATACAAGAGGGGGGGGGTGAGATAAGGACAATGGATTGAGGACAACTTTGATGGGAAAACGGTTCACCTGAAATGTTTTCTTTCTTTCTTTTAAATTATTTTAGGACGAGTTTCACAGTCTTGAAACACAATTAAGCCATATTATGACTGCCGAAAACATAAAGTGTGACTCGAGAGTAACATACAAAGAAAAGGAGGAGGAGGAGAGATAATGACGATAGATGAATATGAGGGGATTCGTGACGTCACACACGAAAAACGATTTTTAACTTTAAAAAAAATGGAAATCATGGATTTTCATGCAGTTCTTCTGTTTGTTTACCCGAGCAATCCAGCAGTTACTATACCTCTAGGCCACATTGTCACGTTTTACTCATGACTTACTAATATTGTGCAAACGGTGCAAACCGTTTATATATCAGACAGAGAACACGGTGGATATAACATGGACATAACATAGACGGGCATGGATAAACGTGTTTTTCTTTCAAAAATAACCTGAAGAACGTTCTTGTTCGACAATGAAGAACGTGCTATAGTGCTATAGAAGGTCCCACGTCAAAGAGAATACAGCAAAAATTGTAATAGAATGTTCTACGCCCCCTTCGACACAACAACATCATCATCATCATCATCATCATCATCATCATCATCATCATCATCATCATCATCATCATCATCATCATCATCATCATCCTCATGATGATCATCATTTTTTCATCATCATCATCATCATCATCATCATCATCATCATCATCATCATCATCATCATCATCATCATCAACAACAACAACAGGAACAACAACAACAGGAATAACAACAAAAGGAACAGCAACAGCTACAGCAACAGCAACAACAACAACAACAGCAACAGCAACAATAACAGAAAAAGAAATGGCAGGACACGAGACTAATTTCAAAAGACAAGGACGGGCAGACTTATGAAGATGTCGACCTACTTACCTATCCGCAGTATGAAGGTATTAAAGGACTGCTCGTTTATTTTAGCAATGACGTCCTGCAATGCCAGAGCGAACTGAACTAGGTCATGAAGATGGGACCATCGTTGCTGAGTGCTGCCAATCTAAGAAGGGGAAGCAAAACAGAAAAATTGTGATATTATAATAATATGAAGACTTTATTATGAAAATATTATTGCAATTGAAGACTTTATTATGAAAAGATTATTGCAATTGAAGACTTTATTATGAAAAGATTATTGCAATTGAAGACTTTATTATGAAAAGATTATTGCAATTGAA